AAATAATATTCAGCATTAATATTATTTCGCTGTATTATATAAAAGGGATGTAATTTCTTCCAGTGTAGCCAAGTTCCGTGATCCATAGTCACCTGAAAAGTGGATTTTGTTGGGGTTGGATAGGGGTACCGACCCGAAGCACTTAAGAACACCCCGCAGGGCAAAGTTTATGTTTGCGTTTGCCTTCGCTATTCTATTTTATTTGGAGTTGTGCACTTATTAAAAAGTTTTAAATGTTTGATTAAAAAGAATTCATCGTAAAATTTGTTGTGCCACATTGCTGGCAACTTTTACCAATTCCTTCAGTTTGTTTACTTATAGCCCTCCACCGCTTCTTCCGCCCATCTTATAGTTATCGCATTTGCTGGTTTTGGCAGCTCAAAAACTTGCGCAGCTCATGGCTGAAAAATAAACATTGGGAAGCAACAAAACAACAAGCGGGCAAAGATATCAGTTGTCGTCAATGTGTATTGTACAATAAGTATGTCTGCAGATAAGGTAGAGAACCCCCAATCCCATAGGTGTGTTCCCCATGATTAAGGTAGAATGTGTGATTTGAAGCGCTTTTTAGCGAAATGGGAGAATAGCGTGACTTGTGCGGTAACGATATTTGAATAAGAACCGCTTTTATATGTTCGAAAACAAAAGGGAGCTCTGTCGTATGACAATTCTCAGTCTTTTCCAACAGCCACCATTCAGTGCCGTTCATGAGCAACGGATCCAGAACGACAGCGCCCACGCCTGACTCATTAAGTTCGCAGAAATGCTAATTTATTAAATCTCTGCCTGTAATAGGAGCAACTCTTTAAAGGCCTTCGCATCGATTTTCAAATGCCGAACAACGCGACCAACGAGTCGTGCAAACTGTAACACCATAATGGTCTTCACTTGGCCCCCAACTTCCTCAACTCCCTCAGTTCCTAACCCGGCTGACCCTAGGTTATCCTCCGGTTACCAAAGTTATGTCTATGGCTATTCCCATTCAGTTTCTATGTGTGTTCTCATGGACATCGCTTTTCAAAGCAGATAAGCAAAGCGAAATCAATCAAAAGACTTTTATATCAAACAATATAAATGGAATGCTTGCCGTTGTCGTTGTCGTTATAGCTGTGATTCCCTACATATCTTCGACAGCTGAATTGAAGTTGCGTTTGTCACGTTTGTCAAAGAACGCAATGAGCACGTAGAACCCACACGGCGACCCCCAATACCAGTCCCAATCCGATTCCGACTCCCGAATCCCCCAAACACGGCAACCGGCGGATATACACAGTTTGTAGATACAGATACAGCTACAGATACACATAGGAGAATGCAAATGAATGGCTATGGGCTATGGGCGGCACATATGTCAAATGCTCTGTGGCAGCCGCAGAGAAAACTTGTGCGACTTTTGAACTTAATGCCCGCAAAGGTCACACGAACAGGCAGTGGGACACGCCGTTGTATTGGTAGTGAGTGACCCAAATGTGCCGATTGAGCTTTCTTACACGCTAAACTTGGTCACCCGAGAAAATTGTAACAAGGCCAAAAAATTCTCCGAATCGTGAAAGAAACGCAATACCAATTTTTACGAGGAAGTTTCATTTAGAAAATGTAATAACGTGTACAAAGTGGCTCTTTATTAACTCACAAAAATCCAGAGTAATGCCAATTTCTAAAAAAGAGAGACACGAATACCTTCTTGTCTAAGGAATTGTGCCACGTATTCAAGCATGCCTCCAAATTTGCTTTTTAGTAAAAACATGGTGAAATAATACGATGCAAAACCACAATTGACTTAAGGGCTTGAAAAATTAGTGAGCTGAAACTCTTTGTTGATTTTGAAACTTTTGCTGTGTGCGTATTTAGACCATGTTAATAGTGCACTCCCTTTTCCCCCCAACTCTAGTCCCATAACCCGCATAAACTTTTCAATTTGCAGGCCAAAAGTCTAAAAACCCAAAAAAGTCAAAATCTACGCAAAAACCGAGATCCCTTTATGCACGACAGATTTGCGCCTTGACCCCGCCCGAGGTAAAAAAAAAGGAAATCCGACAGAAATGCAAAAAAAAAACATAGTCAACGGCGAAAACTTTGTGCAAATCGCGCTGGATTTACATAATTTTAAATGCTGGCTTATTGGTTTGTGTTTGTTTCCACAGCGGATCAGGCGGAAGATGGTCGGGGCAAAAATGGGCCAGGAAGTTGGGCGAGTCCGAGTGACCCGGTCGAAACGTTTATTGCCATTTTGGCTGGGACTTTCTCGACCAAGAGAGTGGCGGATTTTTTTCCATTTGGTTACTGTGATAGCGACGAGGGTCCAATTTGCATATCTGATTAATATGAATACATTAGTTTCGTGATTTGACACAGTAAACCAATAGAATTAAATGCGTTTGCTGATTGCAGGGACAAAGGTCAAGTTGAAAGCTCCACTTACCCGCCTGCCGCCACAATTTATACGGCAGAAATGCCTTTGGGGGCGGGGTATGGTTACTTAAATTCAATTAGCGTTTCCGCTGAACTCCTCATAATGCGATTTGCACTCGAAATCAGAGTCATATAAAATATGCTTTTTGTTTGCGCCCGTCTGCCTTCTGCCTTCACTGGCCTTTTCCTCATTTCCAGCTCGAGAGACTCCAGTTTGAGGCACATCCAGCGTTCTCAAAGCTGCTTTTATTGAGGAAGCGGCAAATTTATTTAAATTAAGTCGAAAATGCTGGGCTGCTCACTCGCTTGGCTGCTTGGCAACTTGTCTGTCCCTCGTAAGTTTGCTAAATGTGTGGTAGATTTGACAATTATGACAGCACAGAATGTAAGATAAATTCTGCATAATTTACGGGGGTTTCCAGAAAGGAGAGACGACTTCCATTATCGGGACTCCCTTGTCGTCTCCATTAAGTGGATTATGTTGTTTTGTCTACCCGAGAGGATTTGGGTGGTCCATTCGATGACCTCCATCCCGTCCTCTCACATCATTGGATCCCATTCCTACGAGGCTGTCGTCGAGAACGTTCGCCGTGATTTATGTTGGGCAATTTTGTGCGGCGTAGCTTCATAAATTTTATTATCCTGCAATTGCAAAACCGAGTTCCCTGGGCATCAAGTTCCATCTCCAGCATTTTTTCGTTAGTGTCACTCTCGCTTTTTTCAAGTTTATGGGTCAGCAAATTTTATTTATTGCACACCCCCAATTGACAGTTTAGCTTGATTTGAGGGGGCAGGGGCACAGTCAACTCCCCGATTTTATCACTTAAATAGCCCTAAGCTAATACGCTCTTATTTGAGAACAGGGTTTTCTATGGACTAAAGCACTAAAAAAATCTTTTCAATGAAATTGTTATGATTCATAGTTTGGATTCTGCTTTAAAAAAGCCTTATATGTACATTTCTTGGAACTGCAAATTTTTGGAATAGCAAAAATATTATCTTGGAAGAAAATAGCATATTATCTTTTGAAGTATACACGTTCATCAAATATTAGTGTGTGCTTAAAACAAAGAAAATAATCTGAGAATCGCTGTATACAATACCACAACCCACTTATAATATTGCATAAAATGTAATTTAATGGTACACATTAAATTTGTTAGGAATAACGTAGACAGATTGTCTAATAAATACCAAAGGTGTTACTATTCAATCGGGTGGTGAATCAATATAGAAATGTTTACCAAACCAGAGCTACAATCCGAATCTAAGTCAGAGACCGGCCTGAGTCACCACAAAAACGCCCTTCGTCACTGACCTCGCCCAATGTTTAAATATTAATAGATGATATCCGAGTCACAATAGCTCCCAGCGTTTCCGAGGAACTAAGGGGATGTTGACAGGTGGACCAAAACCAGCGTGCGACACTCATCCACATGGGGACATTGTTGTCTAAAATTAGCAAACAAATGGAATTCAAACGAAACACACACGTACATACATATGTATTTAGAAGCAATTTGAAAAATGAAACCAGTTTCGCTTTGATTTGGGGGCACATACTCGAAGTCTCGTATACGTTTCTTTCGATTTCGGTGTTCCAATTAGTTTTCCATTTTATGAGGCTAATCAGGGACTGACTTTCGACGACTCCTAGACGCGACGTAAATTTCATTTATTCCATTTGTCTTCACTGCTCGGGGCGACGACAACACCTACATATACAACCAAAATTTGTAGACAGACATCGATAAATCAGGGCCAGGACTCGGTGGCAGCGATGCATTTGTCCTCCAAGGACCACAGCTGATTTGTTCTTGTTTCACGTCGCCTGAAATACCCGATAATTGATTTTACAACACCCGCTCACCCTCGCGGAAGGAGAACAAAGGCATCCTAAGGATTTTCGGGAACCGCGACAGCTTAGGCGAGTTGAAAGGCAGGTATACTCGTATCTCGGTAGGTATATGTATGTATGTTAATGCGGCGGACCCAGTCTAAAATTAAACCAAAAGCGCGAAGCGCAGTAAACAGGGATCAAGTAGATTGATATTTCCTGAAAACAACATTTGGAGGGTAGGTAGCGCGTTGGGAACTCAGTGAGCGAGAGAAAGAGAGCATTGAGGTGTAGGAAGTACTTTGAAATACAGACGCGGGAAGTATAATAGGAGTTGCTTTAAGTCGATTTTGCAAATCTATTATATCACACTTAACACGAGTCATGTTAATTATGTGATCAATTATGCGTATCTAATCTGCCCTAATATGTTTCCAAGAAAATAGTTTCCCTTATCAGTAGGTCAGCCAATCTAAATTGTAACAAATGGCACATTCGTATCATAGCTTTAGCATTGGTCTGTATGCTTATCTTTACAATATAAACATATTGAATGCCTGGTGTTTAATTTAGCCACGCTGAACTTTATCATACGACTTGTGTGCAGGAATTCAAGGGTTTATATGCAGGAACTCACATTCGGATGCTATTTTGCTGACCTCAACTGTAAAGTGAGAGATCGTGAGGGATAAACAGGACCAGAGAGAGCCTGTGGCTCTCAGAGAGCATGTGGGCTGTAAATTTGCTTCTGAATCACGTCCCCTGGCTGCTCTCAGTTTGAGTTTGAACCACGCGACGCGCACAACGGAAAATCCTGGCATAAAAACCCAATCGATCGAAAAGCGGAAAACTTCGCCATACGGAGGAAATGCCTAGTAAAACAAATAAAACATAATAGTCGTAATAAAAAACTAAACAAAAAGTAAAGTGCTAACGTTGCTGTGACCAATGGAGCGTCGCAAGGCTCTCAGTTCGTATGCCAAGTTTAAGGATCATCAGGAGGCGGCGGCTGCAGTTACCCCGCAGAAGGACAATGAGAGCGAGGACTCGCTGCCCGCCTTGCGCCGCTCTCATTCGGTCCGTTCCTCCCTACGGCGGCTAAAAAACAAGCTGCACAGTCCCGCCCTGCCGATGCAGTCGCCCTTTAAGCTGCGCACCCAGCTGCACATGCGCAGTCGCAGCTCGCGAGGATCGGCCACCTTGAACAAAAGCAAAGCGGCCAAGGCACTACGCATGCTGGGCGATCTGGATGCAGTGGCTGTTCTGACCACCAAAGTGAAGGGCAAGAACGAATTTGTGCCGCTGAAAAGAGCGATGAACTCCGAGTCCTGTGACCAGGATGAACTGGGTATCGAAAGGCTCATGTCCACTTTGCCAGTGGGCGCAAGGCTGCCCCGGAAAGCCTGCAAACTGCTCCAGATCCCCGAGAACTACTGCCGGCAAACAGAACTCGCGCCGAAAGCCACTCTCGACTCGGATCTGGAGAATACCTTGAGTGGCGAGGAATCCAGTAGCGTGCTGGCGGACATCACTCGACATGCCCAGCAGGGCATCTATGGAACGACGCGCATGCGCACGGCCACGATTCGGAAGCCGATGCCCTACCTGAACAGCCGTAGGTGTCCTTTAAGCCCTTCGATGTTAACCTTCTCAGCAGTGTGATTGCATATCGTAACCGGTGCAAAGTGGTGTATCTAAAAACGAATTTAAAATCGTCCTGATTGAGATTGCAGTGATTGAGAGCGTCTACATATGATTAAGTTAAAAATCAGCTTCATTTGATTCAGCCAATTAGACAAATTTCACATTTGAAGAGCTAGTGTAGCTTAACTACTTTTATGACGAATAACATTCTACTATAAAAACATTTCTGGTCGAGTGAATCAAATCTTCTGAGGAAACAAAACAACCGAAAGCGGATTCAACGGAATGTTTATTTTTTTATCGAAGCCGATTTTCTACCTGAATCTTTGTAGGTGCCCTCTTAAATCCTATAAAAGATGAAATGGTGACGAGGAAGTTATTACCTGGGGAAACCTGCAGGAAACAAATATTGTTCTTCAACTATTCTTGAAAAGCTTTAAAAGTAAAGTTCGTATCCTCTTAAAAGTGTATGCATCACTTTAAAATGCATTTCATGTGAGCAAAAAGCTTTCGTCGTGCATTTTCTTCCAGCCAATAAAACTCCCATTTTGTGATAGCTTCAGTAACAACTAAAACTGTGATTCAGTGGAAGCTTGTATTTATCCCAGTTATGTTTCCATGGCTTTGTTTGTGTTTTGCCAAACTCTTTTATTGCCCATCAATCAAGATTTTATACCCTACAAGTGGGTCAATGACCCATGCCAAATGGCCTGTGTCATATGAATCGAAAGGCAGCTGTGGGTCTATTTCAAGGGTAGGGTTTCCCAGGGCAGATATTCCCGTGCTTTATCATTACATCACACAGCGATTTTTCTTGGTAACTCGTTTGCATATGTCTTTGCTATGCATTCCATTTGTTTACAACCATCGGCGAAACCCGTAAAACTGGTGTGAGATGCGAGACTAGGAGGATGAATATTCATTTCACGAGTGTCCATGAAAACGTAGATACACATGCATGTGTATATAAAGCAGGCTGCACACATGTGAAGACAGTATAAACTGGCCTAATCCATGACCAAATCGGGTCGTTAATGTTGTGTGCTCTTCCAGATGCTACCACAGCGATAGCACTAAGCTCCCCAATATGCCGCAGAAGCTCCCGATGAGCAGCTGTCTGCGTTCTCCGGCGGTCTTCGTCCGCCAGAAATCGTTTCACACGCTCAACGAGCTGACCAGGTTCTGTCAATTGAAAGTGTCCCCGCATCGGGCCACCGCCACCGCCACCGCCACCGCCACATCCTCAGCCACCTCCGCATCATCGTCGCCATCATCATCGCCAGCAGCGGCGCAACAGCAACGTCGCCACAGCCACTATGCCATCGATGGTAAGAGATCGGTAATTCTCTGGCTGCCCTTAACCCGTATATAAATATATCTACATATAGAGAAGAAGAAGCCCCCATGAGGGGTAATTAAAAAACTGAGCCACATCATTTCATCATAAATGCTTGCTCACACAACAATCCATGTATCTGCTGGGCTATGGCAGCGAATTAAAGTCAATTGAATGAAAATTGGTGGGTGGCTGGCTGGTTGGGTGCACCGACTGCCCTTGGGTGGGTGGGTTCGTTAACTTGGGTCCAGGTGGGTTGGCTGCTTCACGGATACCTCATATAACACACTCCAACACACATGCTCTAAAACACACACATGGCTTGCATCCACAACGGTTTGTGCATAATTAATTTAATTGGCTTTGGTCATAGGCAACGGCATTCCCAATTGCATAGAAAATAATAGCGGCTACGAATAGGAGTGAACGGCATTAATGTTTAATATTTAATTAATCGCAAGCAGAAACGACAATTACTGTAATTAAATTACATTTCCACACACACACACACACACACACAACTTGGTGCTCCTGGTCATTTGCCATTGTAAATATATGCACACACACATCCGCGTTTTATTTCCATATATCCTTTATTTGATTTTCATTTTTGCATTTAATTTGATTTCCCTTCTTTATTTGTATTCAACACAAATCACGATACTCGCACAGACAACATATTGCCGCAAGATAAACGTGACGGTGACATCGATAGTGTCAGGCTGCGGGAGAAGGTGGTTAATCCCAGTGGCGGCAATAACAACAACCAGGACAACTATCCCACCTATTATCCGGCCCCATTGCTGTCCACTAGTCGCTGGTCGGAACAGTTGACGCAACATGCGGCAGTAGCCAAGATACGGACAGCCATCTCCTGCCACTCCCAGGATCTCAAGGAAATGGAATTCCTTCTGCCCCATTCGCGAACCGAGCCCCAATCGAATTCCCAATCGCAACTGTGCATTTCGCGGCACTCGCAGCCAAAAAATGCCAAGCTACGGGATGATCACGATGAGACGGGCTCATCGGAATTGGATTCACCACCCCTGGGCGATGAGAATGCCTCGGCCAATGGCCAACTTTCGGTGCACAGGCAGCCGATACAGCTGCGCAATAAAAACCCGGGAGACACACCTCATCCGCGGACCAACAAAATGTCCAAAAAACAGCTGAAGCTGGCCCAAGCCCAGCTGGACAAACTGACGCAGAACAATCTGCATCTGCATGGTATGACCCAACAAAACCTATCCACATACATGGCACGCATCGCCACCGTTTCTAGTCGTCTTAAGCTTATTGTTAAGTTTAGAAAAGCGTTTCCGCAGGGTACTTACTTGATTTATTTATTCACAGCTCTGTTCTCGGCAGTGGAGCATGGTCACCTGGAGAAGGCGCGCACTATTCTAGAGTCCACCGACGTAGATGTGAACAGGTGAGCTTGGTTCTCTTCTACAAAAACTGGACACATGGCAACTGATATACCTAATCCTTTCCAGCATCAACAACGATGGCCTATCTGCTCTGGACTTGGCGGTGTTAAGCAATAATCGCTCCATGACCAGGATGCTGCTTCAGCATGGCGCTGTGGAGGGCTCTCAGTGTAAGTGCCTTTTGATTTGTCTTTCGACTGTTCTTTTCATCGATCAATCTCAATCCGCAGTTTCTGTGGACACCATTGGCACCAAACTGAACGGCTTGCTCAAGGACGCCGAGTCGCGAATTCATGATCTAAGTGGACCGGAGGGCCTCTGTCCACCGGTGTTTGCATCGCGTCCCTCCATCTCGAGCATCATAATTGGTGAGTGGTCGTCGAGTCAATTGAGAGTGCACTTAATCAGAATCTTAACTCGTTCCCTGCAGGCAATTCAAGCGCATCGGTAACTGGCTGCACGGGTAGCGAGGTGGAGAAACAGATAGGCATCTGGGAGCGCCGTGTAAAGGGACTGCGGCGCTTGCAGCTCGGTTGGGATCAGGCCAGGCCCCCAGATGCACCCGCCTCCGTGGTCGTCGACGTCACGGGCGACAATTCCATCAGCGTCCAAATCCTAGAGCCCTTCGAGGGGGCCATCGGCACGAAATTCAAAGGTAAGCCGCAGGAACGTCGAGTGCCAAAGGCAGTGGAATGGGACTTGTGATTGTGGTTGGGCCGCCATGTTGCGGTTAGAAAGTGGTTCTGGATTTGATTCTCGTTGTCTGTCTGATTCTAACCGCATACTTCGCTTTACCAGACGGGTAACAACAAACTGAAACCTATCACAAAGGTTTTTAAAGATGAACATACGGTTTTATAACATTAATATTTATATTACATTAGAAGTAACCGGTACACTTTCATTTTGTACAGTACAATGGTCGACTCGCGCGGATTTCAACAACGTTGTGGGCGAGAGTGAGCTGCTGGAGTGGATCAGCTTCCATGGCACGATGGGTGCCCAGTGTCACATATCGGGCCTCACCCAGGGTCGTCGCTACTTCCTGCGATCTGCGTGCGGCAATGTGAAGGGATGGGGAGCCTATCGAACCTCTGTGCCGGCTAGTGTGGTGCCCTCAAGTAAGTTGAAGCAAATATTTAAAAAGGAATTGTTTTTAACTGAACTCCCTTGTGCAGCTTGGCGGGATTTAGACAATCGAGAGGACCGATTCGTGGGTCGTCACCGGATCCTGGACAATCTATTTACCGCCGTGCGGTTGGCAAGACCCGCCGACGTATCCGAGCTGACTTTAGATCCCGCGAGCGCCCAACGACGCAATCCCAAAAAGAAGACTACCATTAAGCAGTTGTTCTCGGTAACCACCAAGTTCCAGAAGACACTGAGACGGTATGAAATAATGGAATTCCCGATTTAAGATTTACTTACTATGTATTTATATCCCTGAACAGCGGCATTTACTTCTCTTGTATTATTCATTGCGATGATAAAGTACTGGTCACCAGCGAAGACTTTCCGCCGGTCATCGAGGTGGATGAATCATATCCCAGTGCCCTGCACATGGATTACTACTGGCTCATGAAAGTGGCCTGCACTTGGGAGGATGTTAAGTCCCTACGTTCGGATATGGAGCGCAATCTTACATCCGCTGTTCACTTTCGCACTAAGCTTCTATCGGCCGTATGTCAGATGCAATCGGCCCTGGGCATAACGGATTTGGGCCAGCTATACTATAAGCCACTGAGGGATGCTCAGGGCACTGTGGTCCTAACCTGTGTGCAATCTGTAAAGAGCCAGAAGGCCGTCTCCATCCTGAACTCGAGATGGGTGCCAGTCAGCAAGCTGCAAAAGAAGCTAGGTGCTCTACACGAGGACTACACCATTAACGAGCTGCTCATCTCCTCGATTGGAGATCAATTGCACTATCAACAGGCGGCGCTGCAGCGTTTAGAACCCGGTCTCTATCTAGGATACCTAAAAATGCAATGCTCCATGGACCAGATCCAGGTGGTAGTGCCCGTGAAAACGCCGAATGTCTTGCCGCACTGCAAGGTGCGCGAAAACAGTCACATAACGGCCGAGGAGTGGCAAGTGCTTCATCGCTGCAGTAGCGATCCCCTACGCCTGCCGTTGGACTTTAGCGCTCAAGGAGGTGATGCAGCTTCCGGAGGGGCAGCAACTACGGAGGTGCAGCGCCTATTTTTATACGATCTCACCAATGCAATGCACAAACTTTTTGCCAGTATGAACATCAAAATCGCTGATGCAACCACCCACCGCCTGTATGATGTGGAGGTGATTGAGCATAGTCCAGACATTAGTTTCCTCGTGGTGTGTCCATCCGCCGAGTCCTCATGCGCTGTGCCCGGCCAGTCTGAGCTACTGCTACAGAGGGATGACTTGGCCAGCTTGAGTATCCAGGCCTTTGAGATGATTCACCTGCGCACTTATCAGCCGGCCATCATACAGAAGTACGCCCGCTTATCTTGCATCCTAGAATTGGATACTGCACTGGCCACACATTCACTTCGCGAGGCATTCTCCAGCAGTGAACTGCAGGCGGCCAAGGAACGTTTGGCCACGCTGCAGGAGCTCAGTGCGAGTCTTACAATTGTGTGGAAAAGTGTACGATGGCTAATGGATGTGGTGGCATACGCACGGAACAAAAACGCCCAACCCTCTTTGGCAATGCGAGAAATACTCGACTTTGCACAGCAAAGACATGACGAATCGGTAGCTACATCCGCAGGAGGTTCCGCGAACAAACAGCTGCTACAGCTGCCCATCCGTGAGAGCAAGTTCTCCAAGACGGGCCAAGGAAGAGGCAGTTGGCCGGGTCCAGGGACTAGTGAAGATCAATCGCAGAACAAGCCCGAGCACTCCAAGTCGGAACAGAACCTGGAACTGAGTGCTATCACTCCAGTGGAACCTGCAACCAAACAAGTTCCTACACAGCAGCAGCCGCAGCAACAATCGCAACAGCAACTCCTACAAGTTTCCAACATCAGCGAATATGCGGGGTCGATATGCTCTGAAGTATCACTTAGGAAGAACAGTGGCGACTCCATGAGCTCCACCTACACGTCCCGCAGCTTCTACTCCGCCGTGGATTCAGCCTCAGATGGAAATAGCACAAACAGTGTGTTTGCCATTCCGCCCTCTCGTTCCGATGACACTCTGGCGGATGCACTGCGCCACTCGCAAGCTGTAGCTGCGCAACGCAAACGAACCAGCTCCAACATCGCATCCCATACCAATCCCTTGATTACGGTGCACAGCTCTAGCTCGGCGCCATACCTGGCTGGATCCAGTGTTTCCTTGAGAAGCGGCAACGGAGCCTTCGCAACGGATTTGGAACACAAACCGCTGAAGCCAGCCACTAAAGCCGCATCGAGTGCAAACCTGCGCGAAGGTGGGCCCTATTTGAAAAGCACGTTAGCAGAGCTACGAGCAGTGGGAGGCGAGGAGCCGGTAGCCAGCACTTCGAAGGCGTCATCGATGAAGAGCTTGTCACGGCAGAGCAGCGAAGAGGATTCAGCCAGCTGTTCCAGTCTCAACGCAGAACAAACATCGGGGATTATTCAAGTTTATACCGCCTACAGTACGGGTCTGGCCAGTGGAACTAGCTTAAAGATTCACGTAACACCGAAGACGACGGCCCGCGAGGTGATCAACCTGGTGGTAAAGCAACTCAACATGGCCGTGGTTCTCAAGGGGAACAATGGCCCCATCTATGGACCCGAGATGCTAGAGAACTTTTGCCTGGTGGCGGTGATTGGAGCAAGGGAACGCTGCCTGCGAGATGACTTCAAACCGCTGCAACTACAGAATCCCTGGAAGAAGGGTCGCCTGTACGTCCGCAAGAAGCATGAGCTGCTGGCGGCCATCGAACACTCAAATCGAAAATCGCATTTGATCTGAGCAATCGGACTCAAATCCCACTGGAACTGGAGAAGCATCGAAGGAATGAAGTACGCTATACTGTTGGTGGTGACAAGAAGATCTGTAGAGATCTGAAAACTTAAGATATAGGTGCCCGAAAGTAGGCAAATAATTTGGTTCACACACTTAGATTTTGTTTTCGAAACTTTTGAGATTTTTCGGCTACCCGGCATTAACGATGATACGAATTAGCTGTTCCGATTCTTGTTAAATTTAGTTATGCTTTTGTTTTTGGGTTCATCCAATCACCATTCCCAACTCCTTCCACCCTCTCCAGGGCAATGATCGTTGACCAATTCCAGAATTAGACTGAATTACTTATGCTGCAATGGCAAACTGATGAAATTGTAATTGAAATGGTATTATATTTTCAGTAGTTATACATTCAACATTACCCAGGCAAACACACACACGAATCGGACTAAACAAAAAAAAGATTGTTGTTACTTGTTCTAGAGTATTGAAGGTTACGCCCGTACATAAGTAGTATGTATGAATGTTATATAAATATTATGCGTGCATCAATGTATTTTATTGTATGTATTGTAGTTTAGTAACCAAATGTTTTGATTGTATTTTTGTGACATTTTTAGGGGCACATTTTTTGATCTAAATGTTAAATCGGTAAATACGGAACACAAAACCAAATCAAATCGATGGCGAAACTCAATGAACAGATGTCAATACGCATTTTAAGTGTCACTCTTGATGTCTTTCATGTGTGTGTGTTCTTGAAAATTGCAATTCCATTGGATTAAATAAATAATTTAGCTGTAATCAATTGCTTAGTATGTAAACAAAATCACCGCAACAAATATGATAACGAAACCGGAAGATATTTTTTAAAAATATATTGGCACAACTAAATGTTGAAAAAAAAATTATAGGCAACTGCAAATTGAAATTCAAATGTTTGTATTTATTAATTGTAGAAATGATATTTTCAAGCCCGAACCCAATCTACTCCTCTCTGCAATTGGCTCGCCAAGATTCCCATACTTGATCATCCTATTCCCCATACCCACAATCTACTCTAACTGTTGGCCCCCTTAGAAACCATACTATTAACGTGGCTATCTCAATGTGCAAAGCCGTATGTGTCTATAACTAACTACTCCACTCTGTACTCTCTCGATAGGAAATACCATAAGTAAATTAGATGAAATTCTTCAGATACACGTATATTGTTGTGAAACGGTAGACAAAGAAGCAGTTTCATTGTCAAGCTCATAATGTCCCAATTAAAAACTTATTTCTATTGGACGACAAGTCGAATTTATATCGGAGTCGCAGTCGCAGGTCGTGAAAAGTATACATTTTGAATCTTATGAGAAACTAGACGAGAACACTTACTTTAAAAGAATGTGCAACACAGAGTCCATAACACAGATATCGAACTATTTAAGATGTCTACGACCAACAAACGATTTTTGTACGTTATTTCTTGTTTTTGAGATGGCGTCAGGGGCGATTTTGATACATTTTTTACTGTATGGTTTACCAGTCCTAGGGCACGACAAACAGCAACGAACGTAGTTAAGTTCTGACCACAAAAGATACCCAAGATATTGACCTGACCCCCTTGCGTTCACGGCCCGGTTTCAGATTTGTATTACCGCCACCCAATTGCCTCGATTCAATTCGATTCGATGCGATTCAAATCGAATGGTCCCCAGAATGGTCGAACGAACAACAACGAATGTAATCAAGTTCCAAACTGAGTGAGTGGCCAGTTTCAGTTTGTTAATTCGGAATGCCAATTAAACGATTTCAATTGTCAGACACAGCGTCCGTCCCCAGAAAAAAGAGAGTTTGATTTTCGAATGGAGCGAAATTATACAGAGTATTATTTTGAATTGCGATTCAGTGAGATTAGTTTTTACGATGCAATCTAATTGTAGCTGTAGCTAATTGTTAATGGCCCACAAAAATGTGAAATGTAAATGTAACCAAAAGCATTGAACGAGTCTTTCCGCATATGAACATGAATAATAATAATACATCAGCGCAGATAATTCCTGTAATTAGATATATCTATAGAAGATGAAACTTATCAAGTGTAACTCATTATCGACTACCTGTGTACATTTTTCGTGTGTTAATGGCCCTAAATATATACGATGCATTCCGAGTATGGAGCTAAAAGTGCGGGCAACTAGATATGGTAAGGATAATGTGGGTACGAAGCATTCAAAGAATATTCAATTAACTTAATAAAGACTCAACAACTGTTATGGTGTAATCCCAATTGTTTGTTTTTCTAATGACGGCTTGTGGAAAGTTCTGGACTCCAGATAAATGTGTGATACATACAGCCTAAAGTGCAAAATCATTCTGAGTAAGTCAGCCGGAACATAATGATGGGTCGCATATTATAGTAGACGAATTTTATAATGTCCACGTTACGTATACGCCCTGTGTGGCGCACGGCTTATCAAGCGACACTGCACTCGGATGCGATTTTGACTTAAATAATGCAAAAAAAAATGGCTAATAATGATAACGAGCTGATTAGGCCCGCTACAGCTATAGAATTTCCTCATTATCTTTAATGTCCACCAGTTTGATTGTATTCCAGAGGCTTCTTTGCAATGTCTCAATTTCGTTGGCAACATGTTGCCAATGTTTATTTTGGTGGCCGATGCGTCATCGCATCGCATGTATAGATACCACAAACTTAGTGACGAAACGATCCCGGAGCTGTAATGATCGGAAAACAAGTTATATTGAGTCAGCTCCAGCTATCTCTCCGTGCTCATTCTCTCTCTCTTTATATTGGGGATTTTTGAAACACACAAGTCATTCTGTTGGGAGAAACAGCGCGATAAGTGCGCGCGGTATTTGTATTCCCCTTGCCACAACACTCCCATCTATTTATATGTGTATTTCAAGTACATTTATTAAGATACATACATTTGAATCGGGCACATGGCTCTTGAACTTTAGCCCCAAATTACATGTTCCGTTTCGCAGCCAACTTACACCTTCCCACTGGCCAGGCTCATTTATAAACCATTCGTCCACCAACTGCTACCACTTGTCAATTAAATGCTCCACTTAAAGGCCTTGCCTTCACTCAAATCTCGCGTCTCAACTTGACTAACTCGAGTCGTATACGGTCGCTGTAAATTTTCCCTACTGATTAGTTAATTTCAGCCGGACAGATTCCACATTTTTATTATTATTATTTTTTTTTGGTTACTATTTCCATTTATTGTTGCTGGATTTATTTATGGCCGGTGGTTGCTTGTTGCACCCTTGCTAATGCTGATACCATCTAAATCACCGGTTATATATTTAATATATCTGCCATTGTATACAATATTCTAATCAACTGCGGGGCTTTTTTTCTTTTTTCTTTTTTGTTTTTTTATATTTATTTCATTTTTGTTGTATCGACAGGCGAGCGGGTCAGCCACGTGATCTGGATGGGTCGTCGGGCGAGACGCGTCTGCCTTTAATTAGATTTGAGTCCACCAGAAGCGGAGGCCTAGACAGCGATTAGTGGGGCAAATAACAAGCCAGTACAAGGAAATCGCCAAGTGCTCGTCTGCGACCAGAGCATATAAATTACACCAGCTGGACGTATACTTAATTTGTAACCGAGGCATTCAAACCGGTTGGGGCTCGAATCGCTGACCCCCAGCAGATGGAAGCCAGTGACACACAATAGCCAATTTGCCAATTGTCGTTTTTGAAACGCTTTATGTTCAGAATAAGTATTTAAAAATCGTTTACAGTAAAGTGAATCGATCGGCTCCGAATCCTCAATTGGGGTTTTGTATAACAAACAATAAGTACACCACTGTACACAGCATACATTACAAATATTAAAACTATAGCCTAGCATCTGTATGTGGGAGTTACTAAAAACTAATCGCTCGACCTTGACGCGCCCACAATGTATCCCTTGGCGGTGAGAACGCCCCGGCAGCGGACATGCACCTGATAGCGCAGCGACCAGTCAATTGTGTAGCCAGGGGCCAGTCCGTCGAACTGCTCCGCGGGCAGCAGGAGCTCGGGATCGCTGTGCGTGTTCAGCTGGATGTCGTGAGCGGTGCAGAACTCCTGCAGCTCTGCTGGCACCACGCAGCACGTGGACAGGTTGACCTGGGCAATTGTGGGCGCCACCTGGGCGCTCTTGTGCAGCTCCTCCAGCGCTGCCGCATCCAAATCGGCAATGCCCAGCTGAGTGATCTGCTGCTTGAGGGCATACTGCTCCAGTGTTTGGTACAGTTCCTTTAGCTCTGCTACTCCTTCCTTTCCGTTACGCTGACTCCAATTTGCAGCTCTGCTGACGGTGGAGCCCTCGGAACAGGGCGATTTGGTTGTGGCCACCGGCGTTGCGTTGGCAACCGCATTCGGGTGGTAGGCCAACACCACATTGTCCACGTGCGTCACACTGAGTATGCTGAGCAGCGCCTCCACCGCCTGATTCACGCACTCTGTGGAGTGACGATTTAGGAATATCTTGGCACCGATACTGATTTCATTGCGGCCATTCTCCGTCAGGCGGGTGGTCAGCTCCTGGGTGGCCCGCTGCACACGGCCGTGCAGTTGGTCGATCTCCTTCTCCACCACCACGCGCTCCGCATTCGGGTCGGAGTGGAGCGTTATCTTCAGGCCGTCGTACAGCTCCTCGTTCGATTTGCGCTGTCCAAGTTCGGTGGTGATGATGTTGCCCGTGCTAATCACCACTGTCTGGTACTTCTTCGTTATGGTCGGTATCATGGTGACAAGTGTTCTCCTTATTTGGTATCTGTTACTTCCGCGCCCGTCAAGACAACTGCAGCCCTCTCAGGTGGGTGAAACGCGTGTGTTCTCGAGCACCGACCGCCTGGCCACTTAAATACACTTTGCACCGAAGTGTGGTGAGAGAAACAACGTTCGCGGAGAGCTAGTGGTGGGCGGCAGTCGATTGGCCTCGATAACTTATCGATACATCGCCAGGGGTGCACGATCCAAATGAAATACAATTTAAAATCTATTAAATGTATTATTATAATTCGAGTTGTATCTAGCTAAAATAATTAGTGCCCGCATTGTTAATAAAAAGCATCATGCAGAACAAAGGAATGTTTTTTTTGCTTAAATTTTATTTTAAAACTAACTATTAAATTATTTATTATGCTTTAGCAACAAAGAAAATCTTTTATAACTGAATATTATTGAGAATGTATGGAATGCCATATCAAAACTGTAAAGTTCCCAGTTGTCAAAACTGACAGCTTTGAAAGTGTACAATTTGGAGATCTAAAGATTGGAGTAAAAGGACTAGGATGTGTCTACACGCTGTACGCGAGTGGTTGGTGCTGCTGACCATGGAGAAGTACGCCGGTAAATTCGTGGAGCGGGGCTACGACAGCCTTGCCCGCTGCAAGTTAATTATCGCCAGCGATCTAATCGTGATGGGAGTGGATGATCCTGCCCACAGAAAGCTCCTACTGGACGGAGTCCAGTTCCTGATCAACGCACCCGAAAAGTTCATCTGCACGGAGCCTTGTGAGCTGCACAATCATGTCGAACTGCAATTGGATCCGGATGTTGAGTTTGATTCGTTGAAGAGCTTGGAGAATCAGGATTTTCCAAAAGTACCTGTTGCGAATTGGCTAACATCTTCACCAAAGATGGCGAAAAAGGGCTTATCTCGGGACTTTTTCGACTTAAATGTCAAAGGTGTGGATCAGTTACCTCAAACAATACAAACAAGAAAAAACTAATAATAACATTTACATATTTTAGAATAAAGAAAGGCTTCAGTGATAAGGTTTCTTATATATTTTTGAGAACCAATAAAACGCTTAATGGAGTATGGATTATAACCCCAACCAATCTTAAACATAATCAACCAATATAATTTTTTAAATACTGCCGCAGCAGAAAGCAGGTTCCTCTCACTGCAAATAATACATATTTTATTGGGTCAATAAAATGGGCTGAGCGATTTCCAAGTAACTCATTTTCCTGTGAGTCTTTTAATAGAATGAAAATTACTTGAATGTAATTAAAGGATTCAACAAAGCGTTCAACAAGTATTTGATGCCTCTCATCAAATCTTGGAGACGAGCATCCATGGGTGAAGCGGCCACCACACGCTCGATGCTGGCCGTACCCAAATCCCGCGACCGGCATTCCACACACTCAATGGTTTTCAGCTTCACCTGCACGTTGTCAGCTAAAAGCCGAGAATTGTGCAAGATTCCGTAGAAAAGTACAACATCGCCTTCGCTTAGGAGCCGAGTGAAGTTCCCAAAGTCATGGTGAGCTTGTAGGATCACATCTGTAGTGGCGGAACGGCCAAGAAGCCGGCCACTCTTCTTGGCGCCCACCTTGACCAGCAGCTCGTACTCGTAGCGATTCCAACGCTGCAGTGTGCAACTACCGCTCTGAACATTAAAGGTCTTGATTACGCTCTGCCACTCCTCGCACTGGGCATCCAGTTCGGGATCGCATTTAAAGTGCTGCGATATATTCTCGCCATGCAAGCAGCGCAGCATCCTGCCCAGCCATACGGGCAGATAGTTGGTAATGAAATCCTCCAAAAAATTAGACACCCGCGAGATTTCCACTTTGGAGACGCTGCCCTGCCATGTCACGGGCATTCCATTCAAATGGGAACAGCGCAGCTGGGCCTTTATCTTGTTCGGCTGCTCGTGAAGAGGTTGAGCACAAAGTGCATAAAAGCGATCCCAGGGCAGAGTATTCGTCTCGGAAAGCGAGTGCAGACCCACTCTGGGCATGGCATTAAAGCGGGGCGTGTCCTTAAAGCTAGAGGTCATATAGGGGAAGACCAATAAGCACGCTGTTGTGATGGCCATGACGAGCTGAAAGGTTATTTGTTAATATATGAACAAGGCACTTAAAACTTGGTTATCCAGATAACACTAACCTGCAGCATTGTGATGTATTTCTGGGTGGCTCGGTTTAACGCCAAAATGCAGGACAGGACAACCACCAGCCCGCAGGCGAGAGCCGTGCTGCCCCACCTGAGCTGCTCACTGGCCAGTCCCAAACTATCTATGGCCACGAAGACAGGCACCAGCAGTGCCACGATTCCGAACAGAGGAAGGAACAAGACAATTCCAGCCAAGCCGAGGGCCGCACGCATCACTCCAAACACGGTGGCACTTTGCGAGGTGGCAATGCACACTTGCAGCCAACTGAGCGTGACACAGTGCGGGATGAGGAATGTGTAGACTCCATGCCAACGGGAGCGCTTGGCCATCATAATTAGCAGCACAGGAATAAACAGATACAAGGCAGTGCGGCAATTCAAACAGAATTCAATCCCATTGCCAATGACAAACGATGAGAAGGTAGGTACGCGTAGGTCAAGAAAGCGCCAGCGTGTGGACACAACCTCGTCCATTTCGTACGGATATTTGGCAAGCACATTTACGGCAAAGGAAACGATCACTAGCCAGTCAGGCAGTAGGTGGGAGGAGGCGTACATAGACACGCACACGGTGATAAAGGTGAAGGCTCCAGAGATAATAGTCAGCTCCGAGTGTGGCAGCCAGGCGTCTGTAACCAGCGGGTAGACGATCAGGTTGCAAATGAAGGCACAAAAGAAGTACAGGTACGGCTTCATATTGTTGCGTAAAAAGCGCTGCTCCGCAATGTCCGCCTCAATGTTCTGATCCCCGTAGCTCAGAAACAGTCCCGACCAGATGCGGAAGTCCACGAACTGTTGTTTGGTCTTGAGCATCTTACACGTGGCCCAGATCATGATGCCCAGACTGAGGTAATAGCTGACCAGGGGCAGCATGTGTCGGCTGCTCCACCAAGAGATTGCAACGAGCACACTGCAGCGTACACTCAGCGGAATGACGTTGGGTATGGACACAATCAAGTTGAGCAGCCGGTGGTAGAAGAGCGTGAAGAAGATGAGCGGGTGGAATATCATGCGGTAGAAGCAGGGTACATGGTCCAAGCTTCTCGGATCCGGGACGGATAATGTGAGAGCATCATTAACGCTGGGCATTTGTCCGGCACTGTAATTGGAAGCTGCCGAAACGAGATGAGCTTCGGTGATGAGGCGACGACGCTCCACATTGGCTAGGTCAATAGTGGGCACATCTTCGAGGGGTTCGCACTCCGGCTCCTGTTCTCCTTCGCTGCTCGAAGAGGAGCGGTCATCGTCGCGTCGACGTCGTTTGCGTTGCAAATTGTAGATGCGCCGCATTTTGCGCTCCAACTGCTTGGGCGTAATATGCTCGTTTCCATTCGATAGGCAGGCAAAGAGCTCCCGGGCTGCTTTTCTGGCCGCCCGTTCGCCAGGAGTCATGGCCAGGCAGCGTCGCACCTCGTCCGCATTCTCCGCCGTAATACCGCTGCCATTGTTGTAGCACTGGCGGAGCAGCTTGGCCGCATCCTCGTGTCCATTGTGTGCGGCACTCACCAGCCAGTTGACGGCCTTCTGGTTCTGATTACCTTTGGCAAGATTCGGCTCTACGGCGGGCACGGCAATCTACATTATCTTGTAGTTCTTCTACGAATCTCTATACTCACCTATAGCACTATCGAGTAACTCTTTGGCCAGATCGTATTGCATCTGGGGACATCCTTCCTCGGCAATGTGATGCTTAAGTTTGTTCAAAGAGGCACGATCTTTAAGGGAGTATGTGGATACATTCTGGTCGTATATCACTCAAAGCTCTAAGATTTACCTTCCAGATTCCAACGTCTGCGCTTGGTAACACCTGTCGGCTCATTTTGGGTCCAGGTGGCCATCTGCTTGGAGTTTTTCGTTTTGTTTACGAAAAGCTATGAAATAATTCTAGTCTTGACTTAGTGATGGCATCGTGTATGCACTTCTTTTAGGGATGGACTCACGAATATTAAGACATCCGCAAATTGTTAATAAATAAAGAAAATAAATAAAATAAAATTATTTATCGCTCACACAGTATTAATAATTTCTTATATTTTAAGTTGGGTAGATAATGTGCATAATGTCGTGACTTATAATCGATAATTAATTCGAAATTTCTTAGCTGTGATTTCGATATTGCGCCATAAATAATCGATTCACACGCATGCCGGCTAGATTGTTTGCGGTTGCAAAAATAGTTGTTTATTTGTTGTTTATAGACATTTTTAAATAACACCCAGCACAAAAAATGGAGAGAAATCTGCAGAAGCAATTGTACGGCATATCCCGTGAGTCTTCTTCAGGCGCACGCAGGTACAGCATGCCAGCGGCTTCGGCTGACAGCACGCGAAAATCAATTTTTGGCGGCAGCGCCAGTTGCGCCCAGATGCCGGGGAACCTCAAAAAGACTGCCCTGACCAACAGGTATGTGCTCCGGATCTTCCTGGAATTCACCCCTCATCAATTAACCATTTTCAGCCGGCTCAGCTTGTCCGTGCGCTCCACTCAGTCCATTCCCGGCATCCGGTCCGATTACAATGCGGTCGAGAGCTTCGGTTGCCCACTGCCGGTGGTGGTCAATGAAGCACTAACCTTCGCAGGTCCAGGAGCGGGCACAGTAACAGCCAAAGTGACGCAAAATGGTTGGGCTTGGGTAATGTTACAGCAACTTGTATTTCATCTGGTTCAGCAATCATTACCATTTCCTCTTTCAGGTTGTCCAAGGCAGACGCCTGTTGATTTGGCAGTATAAGGACACGGCCAAATCGGGTTCGCCACCTCGTGTAGGCAAACTGGCAAGACGTGGAGGTGGCCTGGCCCAGTGTCGGGAATTGACTTTACCCTACAGTGACCTGGGTCACAAGAGTGATCTAATTAGTGTTTTCCAAACGGAGGGTCAGCAAATGGCCTCCTGTATAGCGGTATCTGCCACGGGAGAAGTTCGCTACTGGTCATCGATTGCACACGATGGGAACTCTGTGGATCTCTCCATCTTAACTGGTCAGGAGTTTGTCCAACTGCTCAGTCTGCCAACGCAGCAGGGCTACCTAGCCGTTACAACCACCTGCAATCTGGTGTTCCTGCGGGTAGGACTGACCAATGGGCGTTACACACTGCACCATAAGACTATCAAGCCAGCCACTAGCTTCCTTGGTGGTTTTGGCAAAAAGTTTGCCTCCATCTTGATCGGAATGAACACGGGTGCAGACAAAGATCAAGTAAGTATCTTCGATCAGTTTTGGGATCAAATTCTCAAGATTTGTTTTTAAGGTTTTGGTCGGCATGTGCTGCGAGAGCAATTCAGAAAGTGGAGAAACTGTTGTGGCTGTGCTTTCTGATCGAGCAATCCAGCGCTGGAGTCTCTCCAACAAGGGAAACACCGAAAACCTTCTGTATGAGGATGCAGAGATGGTGCGCAGGATACGCGAAGAGTTTAAAACGAAGTTCTGGAACGTCAGACTCCCAGCGGATAATGTGGAGATCGATCTCCATCTGCTGGACTTCCATTTGGTAAAGAACAAAGCCTACATACTGGCTGGAGCTGTGAATGCTGCTCATGCTCCACAAATGTGCTACGCTCTGGGTAAGAAATTTCTGAAAGCTAATTTGTATATGATATGATATGATAATATTATGTGTTTTAGTTACTGGCAGTGCCCAGGCAGAAAGTATGCTCCTAGAGTCATTCACGCCGCTCAAGATCAATAAATTCTTTAGTGCCAAGACTGAGGAGGATTGCCTCAGCCTGCGTTTTGTAGTCGGCAGTAGTCACATCTATTTGTATACTTCCAAAGTTGTGTATCCTCTGCACTTGTCCAGCTCCGTGCCGACAGCAGAGCTAGAGGCGGAAAAGATTGAGTTCCATCTGCATGATGATCGCATTTTGAGTGCCGCCATCTGCAGTCAATTGCCCTTGTTCTTTAGCCGCACACACGGTCTAGTTTCTATTACACCGGGCGATTTTGATGGT